AGAACTGAGACCCGCCTGGGGGCTTCGCAGCCCCCCCATTTCCGAGGTCCCCAGCCCGGGGACCGCCCGCTGGAGTCACCTCACAGCTGCTCAGGCTGCTGAAGCCAACGACGCAGGAGCGGCAGGCCATCCCGGCCCCCGGGCCCTGGAGCGGGGCGGGCCGCAGGGATGAGCGAGGGATCCTCTGTGGGGTGGCGTTGGCAGCTGGCTCCCGTCGCAGGCCCGGCAGGCTGGGGACTGAGGAGCAAACACCTGTCGTACAGTGCTCATTAGCTGCAGGAGGGCGGGCACCTCCCAGCCCGACCAACCTGTTAGATGGTTACATGATGTGGTGCTCCGGCCCCTCCCCCCGCACCACTCCTCCAGGCCAGGGATCTGCCTTGCTGAGGGGGCAGGTCACAGCCCCCAACCCAGCAGGGCCTGGCTCCAGGGAGGGGGGCAAGTCTGAGCTGGCTGGGTAGGGGCGGGAGGCGGCAAGAGGAAGGGGCGATTCAGCAAGGAAGGAGAGGAGAGAGAGAGTGTGCGCCTGCCTCTCACCGCAGACCTCACTGCATACCTGAAGGCTGACGTATCCAGGCCCACATACTTCTGGAAAGGATGAGGCAAGCGCAGGCCCTGGGCTCCCTCCCGAGTACAGGGCATCTCCCTGAGTGTCGGGCTGCCATGCTGGGCGCCGTGCCAGCCTAGCCTTGGAAAACAACACCTTTATTATTTATTTTCCAGCTGCCCGAGAGTCTCCCTGGCTTATCTTCTCCTCTGCCATTCTTCCTCCCTCCCCACCCCCTTCCTTCCTTTGATCTCCCATCTATTAAGCACCTACTCTGTGCATCCCACTGTTTCAGAGGCTGGAGAGAAAAATAGATAGTCCAGGCCAAGGGCCTTCGGCTTTAGACACGTGAGACGTGGATTTAAGACTCAGCTTGGCTGCTCATCACTGGTGTGACCTCAGGCAGGTTACCTGATTTCTGTCCTCGGGTGTGAGATGGGTATGGAACTACCAATCCCACAGGAGGTGGTGTATGCAGAGAACTCAGTGGGGGCTGGCGCAAAGCCCCAGGAAACGGTGCTAAGACCAGTGCCTGCCTTCTGGGAGCTGAGTCTGGTGGGGGAGATAGTTATGGCCCAATGTTGCCCTGCCTCAAGGGCCATGAGAATGTGCCCCTGCGGGAGGCCCTTCCCATTCCTCCGTTCTCACTTCTGCATCTCCTTCCCCTGTTTCATTTTAAATATGAAGTAAAAATAGAAAGACAGCAATTTGCTCCTACAGAGCCTCTGATGGGGCAGGGGAAGGCCCAGCCTCTCCCCTCCCCCCCACTCCCTCCCACCTTCCTGAAGTTCCAGAGGCCCGCTCTTCCCCCTCCACTCTTCCCCTCCCGGGCCTGCCTCTTCCTCCCTCCCTGGTCTGATGTCCCTGGATGCTCCCTCCCTGGCTGGCTGGCTCCGTGTGCCCTCCTTGGACCAGGCACACCACCTGGGTGGAGGGGTCACCGCGGAGAGAGAGTGTCTGAGAGAGAGTCGGGGGTAGAAGGGCTCTCAGCTCCTCTGGAACTGGAGGAAGAGGGGCACATTGCCCATTCCAGGCCTCCTGCCGCCTGGGCCAGACCTCCTTCCCACACGGGGCATTTCTGGCTCAGTAAGGCGCAGGAATCCGTACCAAGGGCAGGAGCCTCTCCCGAGGCTGCATCCCAGGCCCTGATGCTGGGGGTGAGTGACGGGGTCACTGCACTGTGTCTGTTTCCACTTCTGACACCACTGCCACGTTCGGCACACACCTGCAGGGCCCAGCCCAGTGTCCCTGACCTGGTATCTGAATGGCATGTGGTCAGACTCAGCACCCTGCCCTCCCCACCCAGCTGCCCCTGTACCCTGTGGGGAAGGGGAGGGCAGGCAATGGCCTTGGGTGACAGCTGGCAGGTCAGATATGTCCCAATGCGTTGCATGGATTAGCTGCCTTAATCCTCATCTGAGGTAGATGCTTTCCTTCTCACCAGCCGGGTTCACAGAGGCGGAGACTGCGTCTCAGAGGAGTTAAGTGACGGCCTAAGGTCCTGGTGCTGGATGTGAGCCCAGACAGTTGGAGCTACGGGCCCTTCCTCTCATCTCGGCCTCTGAGCCCGATGACCCCTGGAAGGGGCAGTGGATAAAAAGGGAAGCTCTCTTCTTACTGTGTGGGACTCAGCTCTACCTTCTAATCTTTTTCTTCTTTTTAAATTCTTTGATCCTCACCTGAAGATATGTTTTTTAAAAAATATATTTTTATTGATTTCAGAGAGGAAGGGAGAGGGAGAGAGAGACAGAAACATCAGTGATGAGAGAGTATCAATGATAAGCTACCGCCTGTATGCCCCACACTGGGGATCGAGCCCGAAACCTGGGCATGTGCCCTGACCGGGAATCGAACTGTGACCTTCTAGTTCATAGGTGAATGCTCATCCACTGAGCCACACCAGCTGGGTGATATTTTTTTAAATTGATTTTTAGAGAGAGAGGAAAGGACAGAGAGAGAAACATCAATGTGAGAGAGAAACATTGATTGGTGCCTCCTGTAAGCACCCCCACTAGGGATTGAGCCCACAACAGATGTATGTGCCCCGACCGAGAATCGAGCCCAAAACCTTTTGGTGCATAGGATGATGCTCCAACCAACTGAGCCACCGGGCCAGGGCCCTTCTAATTTTCTTTAAGTTGGAGACCCAATTCTTCAAAGTGCCTCTGTCAGCCCCTGAGTTTAGATAGGTCACAGTTAATTGCTGAGTCCCTGGCTTCGAGGCTGGCCCTGGGGCCTGAGCACTGGGCGGCCCTCTTGAGGGTGGCCTGGCCTTTTGAAGGCATGGAAGGCATGCTCCCTGGGGCTCTGGCCCTGGGCTGGGATGGGTTGGGACAGGCTGGGACGTGGATCCCACTGCTGTTTCCTCCCTGGCCAGGCCGTCTCTCCTGGGAGCAGTCAGAGCTGTCTTGGCTGTCACAGCTGTGGCTGCCAAACAGGAAGAGCAGTCAAAAGGCCCCAAACAAACACAGCTCCATGGAAACACCTAGCCCTCCCCTTTCCTCCCCATCCCTCCCCCAGCCTCCCCCCCTCCCACCGTCATTGTCCCAGGTGAAGTGTCCAGGCCCCTGCCTTCCCACCCCCATGGAAGACCTGACAGGACCCTCTCCTGCCTTGATATGGAACCTGGAACACCTAGGGGGTTCAGGGAGCAGGACCCCTGGCAAGGATGGGGGAGGGAAGATGGAGAGTGGGTAACATTTTCATTCTCTTTGGGGATGTTGAGATACCCGGGCAGGCTCCAAACTCCCCCTGAGAGTACTCCCACACAAATCTGAGCCTGCCTGTGGGGCATGATCTTGGGTGACCCCAGGGGTAGAGAAGCATCAGTGAGGGAGCCCCTCTGGGACCCTGGAGGCCTGTCCTGGTTGGTGCTTACATAGTCCAGGAACAGAAACCACAGCGCCCGCTCCCTCCTCCTCCTCCTCCTCCTCCTCCTCCTCCTCCTCCTCCTTCTCGGGGGGGGTGCCCGCTTTGCCTCTGGTCCCCTGAGCTGGTGACAGGATGCGATCCTGATCTCTCAGGAGCCAGAGAAAAGGCGGGAGGGCAGGGCTGGCCAGAGGTAAGGAGTGGGGGGGGCTCGGGCTGGGCTGCCGGGAGCCTCCTGAAGTTGGTCCTCAAAGAAGGAAGGGGGTTTTCCCATTTGCTCTGCTTCCTCCTGCCTTCCGTTTCCCTCTTCACCTCTCTCCTTCCCACACCTCTGATCTTCTCCCTCTCATTCTCACCCACCTCTTCTCTCTTGCCTCCCTGTCTACCTGTCCCTCTCAGTGTCCTGCCCACTCAGAGCCCTGGCCCGGGGCGCCTCTGTCTCAGCCCTGGGGTGGGAGGCGTCTGGGCAGCCCCTGCCGCCGGGTGGATGGCATTCTAGGCACGGCATCCCTGTGTCACAGTTTCAGCACCTCCTCGGCGCCTTGCTCCCTTTGGCCTGGATCCTGGGACAATGCAGGGCAGCGATGCATAGTTGTTGGATGAATGTCTCAGTGAGCACATCCCAGCCTGGCTGGGGCCCTGGCGCAGGACAGGGCACTGGGAGAGACAGGCAGGGACTCTGGCAGGGAGGAATCCTAGACTCAGGGCATGATGGCAAGGTCAGGCCACTCCTTCAGGAAGCCTTCCCAGATGAGCCTGCTCAGGTTCCTGTCCATCTCCCCTCCTCTCTTCTAAATGCACCTCCATGTCTAGGCTCACTGGGTCAGGGCCTGCTCCCTGACGTGACGAGGCTGGACAATTTGGCCTCCTTTCTCTGCACTGTCCCTTTGAGAAGGCCTGTCCTGAGGCCCCGGGAGGGAGGCCCTGCCCAGTGGCTAAGTTCTGGGGATGGGATGGCCTAGGCCCAGGGCTGAGGGTCTTGAGCCACCTATGGCTGCGTGGAAAACACTTCTGAGGGCCTCAGAGCTGGGGGCCGGGGAGCTGAAAGTAGATTTGGGATGGGAGAGGGCTAAGAAAGGGGAACTCACGGCGAGAATAGAGAAGTTAAGACAGTGTCTATTAAGCCTCCCCCACATGCCAGGCAAGGCTATGGCGACACGGAGAGGCACCGACCCCCTGAGGGTGTCTGCGATGCCTTCCCAGTGCGGCCAGTGAGCAAAGGCTTGAAGGAAGAGGGAGAGCTGACCAGGAGGCAGAAGTGCGTTTCAGGCGAAGATACTTGTGGGGGCGAGAAGCTGTGTGGGATGGTGACGATTACGACAGCCCGTGTCACTGGAGTGTCAGAGTTGCTGGGACTGCTCCGGGCCCGAGGAGGATACAATCAAAGCATTTCATTACTTCACATAAAGTCCTTCAGCGGCTCCCTGAGGACTTTGGGATAAAGTCTAGACTCTAGAACAGTGATTGGCAAACTCAATAGTCAACAGAGCCAAATATCAACAGTACAACGATTGAAATTTCTTTTGAGAGCCAAATTTTTTAAATTTAAACTATATAGGTAGGTACATTGTTATTAACTTAACTAGGGTACTCCTACGGCTTAGGAAGAGCCACACTCAAGGGGCCAAAGAGCCGCATGTGGCTCGAGAGCCGCAGTTTGTCAACCACGGCTCTAGAAGATTTCTTGGAACATCAAACAAGATCCTTTGCACCTGTTGCCCTTCTTTCTCTCTGGGTTTCAGCTCCTCGATGCCCGCCTTCCTTCCACATCCCCTGTGGGTTTCCACCCCCACCAAACTGACCCGGTCTCTCTGAACCCGCTGAGTGATGCCACGTGCCCGAGTTGGACAGCACAGACATGGAACACTGCCATCGTCGCAGGCAGTTCTGTTGACAGTGCTGGTCCCTCCATGAGGCAGGATCTGAGACGGGCCAGGAGGCGGCAGGTTCCTGCAGGCTGGGAAGTGCTCAGGAGGGACTAGCGGGGCAGCACAGGGTCATGGCAGAGCTC